AGGACATTTAATACTGATTCTGGTTATAAATATATGGATAAATTTTTCATTAAGAAAAGTTTACTAGAATAATATAAAAATCAATAGAACTGGAATTTTTAAAAATTCTTACTTTTCAATTGGGAGATATGATTTTACTTGACTAAAACAATGCTTCCAAGCTGTGTTCTGATAGGCTCACTTTAGTTCCAAAGTAGATTAACAGCACAATGTAATTTCCTGTTATAGTCATCCCCAATTGCCAATTTCCTCTTGCAGTGAATATTGTGGTCACACCACCAAGCTCCCAAATTAGAACAACAGGATGTCTAGTGAGGTACAGATGGCTATTATAAAAGAGACAAGAGATAAGTATTGAGGAGGTGTGGAGAAAAAAGGGAACTCTTGCATACTGTAAGTAGGAATATAAATTAATATAGCCATTATGAACAACAGCATGGAGGTTACTTAAAAAATTAAAAATAGAATTACCATCTAACCCAGCAGTCCCAAATCTGGGTATTTGCCCAAAAGATTTGAACTCAGTATATTGAAGAGTTATCTGTACTCCCATGTTCACTACAGCATTATTCACAATAGCCAAGATTTGGAATCAATTTAAGTATCTATCAATAGTAGAATAAAGAAATTATACTCTGTGTGTGTGTGTGTGTGTGTACATACATACACATATACACACAAAATTGAATATTTTTAAGCCTTAAAAAAGAAGGAAATCCTGCCCAGTTGTGACAACATGGATGAACCCAGAGGACATTATGCTAAGTGAAATAAACCAGCCATAGAAAAAAAATATTGCATGATCCCCTTTATATGATAATCTTAAATATTCCAACTCATAGAAGCAGAGTAGAATGGTAGTTGCCAAGATCTGGGGAGAAATTAGGAGATAATAGATAAAGGATATGAACTTTTAGTTTTAAGATGAAGAAGTTCTAGAGCTCTGATTTACAGCCATAACTATAGTTAGTAATGCATTGTATTCTTGAAATTTGCTAAGAGAATATATCTTAAGTGTTATTTCCAAACTCACACCCCCTTACAAAGAGCGGTAACTAAGTCAGGTGATACATATATTAGCCTGACTGTGGAGATCATTACACAAGGATATACATATAGTAAAATACCAGGTTGTACACCTTAAATATATACTTTTTAAAATTTGTCAATCATACCTCATAAAGCTAAAAAATTAAATTAAAATGTATATTTAAGTGTTTATTAGTAAGAGAAACTGTTCACTACTTCTTTGTATGAACAAAATGAAAAAGTCATCTTGGAATTATCTTGGTTCTTCAAAAGGTCACTAGTGACTTCTCCTAGTTGTGAAAATATGCTTTCTTTCTTCCTCATGTTTGTTGGAATAGAGGAAGACCAATTTGCTTTAAGAGAAGGAAGAGATAAGACCTCAAACTTTTCTCCCTGAGATTTTAATTTAGGATAGATCAGATTGACCCTGAACTAGGTTTGCTGGACAAAAAGGATAAAAATACCCTCAAAAGAAAGAGGAAGAGACTGGGCTGGTGTCCTAAGCTTAAAAGCAGGGCCTAAGAGTAACATTCTACTTCTCAATGACAAAGAATATGCAGCCATATATTAAGGGTACCATAGTCCACACTCTAGTCAGTTTTTTTTCTTTTCTTTTCCTCTCTCAAGATCCCCCAGAAGCTTCATCCAATTACCTCATCAGGCTCAGGCTTAAGGTCTAGATCTCATCACCTAAGTCAGGTCCAAGTGTGGACAAGGCTCAGGAGGATTAGCTACTCACCTAAGGATGATTTCTTTAGCTAGATAATTGAATTCATTATGTACATTTCCAACTTCCCTCATTACCACAGCAACAGTGATGCCAGCTTTTTTACCACTACAGCAAGGTGCCCCTCCCTCCTGCTTCCAATCACATTTTGCTCATTTTCTTCCAAATTCACCGACAGCCTCTTCAAAACCGACTGGATTTCTGAACACCACCTGGTCTCAAAACGAATTTCCTGTATTGTAGATTTGTGAAGTCAGCATCCCACTTTCAGGTACCAAATTTTTTTGTGCTTATCTATTGTTGCACCCACAAACTCACTGGCTTTATATGACAATTTTTTATTTTGCTCATGATTTTGGGTGTCAGGAATTTAGGGAAAGGCTTAATTCTCCCTTGGGATCTCTCATACAGTCAAGTGTTGACTGGGGCTTCAGAAAACCCAACTGGTGTGATTTATCCCTGGGAGCCCAGCTGAGCCTGTTGGCCAGGACTGCTCCATGTAGCTGCTACACATAGCTTGGGCTTCTTACAGCATGGTGACAGAGTTCTGGTCTTGTTTGCATTAACTTTCTTATTAACTTCGTACCTTCTCAGCTAATAGAGATAATTACTCTGGGAAAGGTTAAAAAAACAAACAAACTTTGGATCCTAACTTCAAGCACTTCCTAAGTAAATACTATAATGAACTAAATCACCCAAAGAGTAATCCATTTAAAAAGAAAACAAAATAAGGACGATTTATTTATCTATTTATTTTTGAGACAAAGTCTGGCTCTGTCACCCAGGCTAGAGTGCGGTGGTGTGATCTTGGCTCACTGTAACACCCACCCTTCAGGCTTATGCCATCCTCCCACCTCAGCCTCCCAAGTAGCTGAGACTACAGGAGCACATCATGACACCTGGCTAATTTTTGTATTTTTTGTGGAGACAAGGTTTCACCATGTTGCCCAGGCTGGTCCCAAATTCATGAGCTCAAGCAATCAGCCAGCCTCAGCCTCCTGAAGGGCTGGGATTACAGGCGTGAGCCACTGCCACCATGCCTGACCATAAAAATGTATTGAATGTTAAAATTGTGCTATTCTTGTATACTTAATGATAGCAAAAGTATAGCAAAGAATAATTTGCATAATAAATATTCCCATTTTTTTCTTGTTAGTACAATAATTGAATAGTAACCATGACCAAAGTAGGACAAAAGAAGGCTATTATCCTAAAGGTTAGTTTGATCTTTCAAGATTTGATTGCTTCTATCCAGACTCCACTTTATCCATTTGAACAGAGGTTCTGCTGTTCATCAATCAAATGTTAAGTGTCTCTGTTGCATTCAAGTGTTACCCTAGCTGGCCATATTCTACATAAAGGGCATTTCTCTCAGCAGATTTTGTTAAAAAAAAAAGGTATCTTCCTTGGAAACACTTCTTTATGAAAAGATCATGGATGAAAGTTAGAGCCAGACATGGTGGCTCACGCCTGTAATCCCAGCACTTTGGGAGGCCGAGGCGGGTAGATCACGAGGTTAAAGAGATCGAGACCATCCTGGTCAACATGGTGAAACCCCATCTCTACGAAAGATACAAAAAATTAGCTGGGCATGGTGGCACAGGCCTGTAATCCCAGCTACTCAGGAGGCTGAGGCAGGAGAATTGCCTGAACCTGGGAGGTGGAGGTTGCAGTGAGCCAAGATTGGGCCATTGCACTCCAGCCTGGGTAACAAGTGAAACTCCATCTCAAAAAAAAAAAAAAAAAAGAAAAGAAATATGAATATGTGACCCAAAGTGAAAGAAACTAAAATTCTATATTTTGTACAAGAAAATTTATTTTATTATATTAGAGATTACATACTGTACTACAACTTCATTAATATTTAGAAGTTAAAATACTTTAATAACAAAAGAATGGTCTGAAAGTCTTAGAAGAGTATTAGTTTTGTGGTTTATTCTCCTTTATTTTTCTCTCCCCGCCTATTTTCCTGTCTTAATTTTTTGAATTCTCCAATTCTGTATAGTTTTGGCACAGAAATATTGAGATTATCTTTTGGAAATGACCTTTAATTGGTGTTCTCAACATATTTCTCTTATTGGAAGATAACACTGAAGAGCAGGGAAAAATATTTTTCATTGTTTCCCAGTTAGGGTATAACTTTCTTTCTGCTAATACAGTCATTCACTATATGCCATTAATTACTGGTACTAGCTAATAGCTGACTTTCACAATCTTCACTCTAATAATAACATATTAAAGTTTCCTAAGTCAGAATTTAAAGGACAGAACCTATGTCTCTGGGGGAAAAAATGTTTAATCCATTCATATACAATTGTGTAACCTTTTTTACAAAACATATTCACACTGGTTCCTTTGGTAGTTTAAAAAAAAATTCAAATAGGCCAGGAGCAGTAGCTCACACCTGTAATCATGGCACTTTGGGAGGCTGAGGTATGTTTATAATGAGGTCAGGAGATCAAGACCATCCTGGCCAACATGGTAAAACTTCATCTTTACTAAAAAAATTCAAAAATTAGCTGGGTGTGGTGATGCATGCTTGTAATCCCAGCTACTCAGGAGGCTGAGGTAGGAGAATCACCTGAACCAGGGAGTTGGGGGTGGCAGTGAGCTGAGGTTGCGCCACTGAACTCCAGCCTGGTGACAGAGCAAGATGCCACCATCTCAAAAAAAAAATCCAAATGAAGAATCTCTATACTTCTCTTGTTTTCACTTTCATAGAAAAATCTTTAACCTAACAGTAAATAAAAGTATATCTCTTTGTTGGATATCTCTTAGGCAAAGAGACTAGAACTTTTTTGTATGTCAGTGAATTATCTGGTGAAATCCTTAATAATTGTTCCTTCTTTTTAAATTTGCTTATAAAAAGAAAAGTTTATATATTAATATTACCTAAAATGATCTAGGCCCTAGTTCTTATTAAACAGCAACATGAACATAATTAGTTGCTTAATAGAATTTCAAAAGTAAAAATGATTAAAAAGAAACCGTAAAATTTTCTCTTTCTTTTTTATAATTGTATTTATTTCATTAATTTAGGCTTGTCTTTGACTAGAGTGTTTTGTGTTCATTTCTTATTGTCTGTTACTCGATAAATCCTGGTGATGTACATTTCCTCCAGGAAAGACAACAATCAATAATAGGAAGGCTTTTGGAAGAAAATAGTTAATTTTTGATACCGTGACATGGACTTAGTTATTCCATTAGCAAGTGTTAAATATTTTCAATACCTGTATTTACTCACCCACAAGTCCTAAAACAATGTAGCCAATAATACACAGTAGGAAGATCATACAGCACAGAACATCTGTACAACTCCTAAAGACAAAAAAAGAAATAAATAATTAAAAGAGGTCCAAAATGACTTCCCATTTACTGCACAAAATGAAGGAAGAGAGAGAAAGATGATAATAGTGATACACTATTTCATAATTGCATATTTATTCAGTAATCTTGAAAGGTAGATCAGATGTATTTCTACAAAGACATTAGCAGCCATGGAGGGGTCCTAGTTCCATGATTAATGAATATCCCTCAGAACTCTCAGTATTTGTTCTCTCTTGAGTTCTTGATTTGCAAAATGTTTTTAAAGATTAGAGTATGCCAACATCAGATAGCCATTTTTTTACATAAAATTGTAAATTAAGCTATTTGATTTTATGATATTCCTCTTCATGCCTCCCCCACATATGGTATAAAATAGCCATTTCCCATCCCTCCTCTTCTCCATTTCCCTCCTACATACACATTATACAGTTACTATTGTTAAAGGATTGACTACATTAACTTTCTACGGGAAGCTGAGTTATAACTATTCCAGTAACAATGTATATAAATCATTAAAAATAAAATGCCTCAAAAGTTTAAGTTTTCTAGCTGTTTCTATAAGCTACATATTGTCAATGTAGGATTAGAGGAAATCTGACTCACAGAGAATCAGTGATTTGCTAAAGGTCACAAGCCAAGGGGATATCCAGCAGGGATACTCAAGGTTTTCAACTAAAGTAATTTCTATTCTCAATATTACATCTTGTTCAGCTTATAAGTGGTTTGGAAGGTCAAAGCTATGGCTTGAAAGTGAGCAGCAATACTGTCATTCTTTATTTAAAACTTAATGAGGACTCTGTTAGTAAAGAAAAAGATCAGCTAATTTGACAAAATTAAAAGTTGCACAAGAGAATTTTCATAGTGAATGCAAATATGCCCTAATCTTTCAGCACAGGCAGGTTGAAGTTACACACTTATTTTTGGACATGGTAAGTAATTAATAATAATTGTAGAGTAACAAACACAGTAATACCTTACATTGATAAAGCCTATTATACTTGTATTGCTTTCAGAAACATAACCTTGAGAGATTCCTAAGAATATCTTTAGGCTTCTAGAGGTAGTAAAGTGAGTTTGCTTACTTTAGTTAAGTACATGAAAGAGACTGTTACAGAGGGAGCAAATATCTAGATCTCCAACACCAAGCCTTTTTCATTTGTGAGTTATGTTAATATGATTACAATTTTCTGCAAAGTTTTAAAATATCTACATCTAAAATTAATTATACACATTCCTATAATTCTTTACCTTGGAATAGGAAATGGATCTTTCAGAGAGAAAGTTAATTGTGTGCAAACCAGAAACAAACTATCATTTGTTTAAATCTGGTTTCAACCCAGAAATTTTTAATTTCATTTGAATTTAAGAATTATGAGAATAATAACAACAAGAAAAGAAAGCAGGCACTCTAGTTTTTCTTGGCTAACGACCATTGAAAGCAAAAACCTGCTTGAGTGTGTGGAGGGTGTCTGTTTCACCTGCATTCTTATTCATCCTACTTAATATCAGATTCTTAACCTGTGAGAGCAGTTGTTACATAACCTAACACCTAATAGAAAATGCATGCAGGTAAGAAACTCAAAGAGAAAAAACTAGAGCATAGATGTGCTTTAATTCGAAATCTTGCATTTGTCAAAGCCCTGGTGTGTAATCGTAACCAGCAGGAAGCTGGAGAGAGAAGTAATCAGAGGCACCAGCCAGGGTGGCCTGCCATCCTGTCCTTATATATCTATAATGTCATATGTTTGTATCATTTCTATTAATATATACTATGATGCATACAGTAGTCTCCCCTTATTCGCAAGGGAGACATTCTAAGACCCCAAGTGGATGCCTGAAACTGTAGATGGTCCCAAACCCAATATTCTGTTTTTTTCCTATGCATACAGACCTATGATAAAATTTACTTTATAAATTAAGTAAAATGAAGAAATTAACAATAATAATAAAATAGAACAATTATAACAATATGCCACATCACTACTCCTGTGCATTGGAGTCATCATAAAGTAAAATCAGGGTTACTTGAACACAAGCATTGCAATACTGAGACAGTTGATCTGGTAAGCAAGATGGCTAACAAATGGTGAAGGAGCAGGCAGGGCAGGAGGCCTGGACAGCATGGATACACTGGACAAAGAGATGCGTCACATTCTGGGTGGGACAGAGTTTGACAGTGTGAGATTTTATCATGCTATTCAGAACAGTGGGCAATTTAAGACTTATCAATTATTTATTTCTATAATTTTCTATTTCATATTTTCTGTGCATCACGAATGGCCACAGATGACCTTGGATAATTGAAACCTCAGAAAGCAAAACTGCAAATAAAGGAGAGCTATTGTGTTCATAATGACTTCCCGTTACATACTATTATAAAGATGTGTTTATAAGGCTACATAGTCAATACAAGTAGAGGTAAACATCTAGAAAGATCAGTGAAAGAAACTTACCAATTTCAAAAGACAAAGCACAAAGAAAGAAGCAGAGCCTAAATGGAAGTTTTACGTTGTTGTTTTGTTTTGTTTTTGAGACGGAGTCTCACTCCATCACCCAGGCTGAAGTGCAGTGGCATGATCTGGGCTCACTGCAACCTCTGCCTCCCGGGTTCAAGCGATTCTCCTGCTTCAGCCTCCTGAGTAGCTGGGACTAGAAGCACATGCCACCATGCCTGATTAATCTTTGTATTTTTAGTACAGACGGGGTTTCACCATATTGACCAGGCTGATCTCAAACTCCTGACCTTGTGATCCCCCCACTTTGGCCTCCCAAAGTGCTGGAATTACAGGCATGAGCCACCATGCCTGGCGGAAGTTTTTTAATAAGTAAAACCCATACTCCTTGAGTACTTGCACTAATAAATGAGCATTAGTTGGTGTTTTGTTTCTATATAGGGTTTTACACTATAAGTTATTTCTTATTCTTTGGTGCCAAGGAAACACTAAAGCATCAGGAACTACCCTGTGCCCACACAACTATTCCCCCAGCAGTCTCTCACCACAATGGGACAGCATTTCTCAATAACTCACACCTTAAGATGTTTGGAGATTATCCTGGTGCTAGGAAAAATAATGTGTTAAAGTCTGCTTTGTTTTTCTGGTACATTGCTTTAGAGAAATAGCAGACCATAACCTATGGCCAGACTGGTTAATTTTGTCTTAAACACAGAAGGTTGTTGAACAAACTGAAAATTATAAACCAAGAATTCAGATCTACCCAGTAGTAGACATTAGTATTTCTAAATTTGTTTCTGTAGTAATTTGATTCTCTTTATTGCTTTAGAAATTTTTTTAAAATAGGTGTGTGTGTGTGTGTACTTTCAGGTAATGACAATTATCTGCTATTTTTTTCCATTAATTTATCTGCTTCTCTCCCATTCCGCAGATATATTCTCCCTCTAAAAAAAATAGTGCTTAGAAAGTTACTGGAAAATTGAATGTGAACAAATCAAAATATAGCTTGGGCACCATTTTGTGAGTCAAGGAACACGGCAGAAACTCAATTCAGATTTTCAAAAGTTGTAGTGCCTTATCATTCTTTCTATCTTTTGATTTCAGAGCATTTGTCACAATCCTAAATATTCTATAGGGAATTAGTTCTAGTTTTTACGAAAAAAATAAGATTTTAATTGGGACAGTTTTCAAAACTCTCTAGACAGCTATTGAGATGACTGGGTGATCTAAGCTCATGCCTGAAAATTATTCTGAATCATATTCTAGCTAGAGGCTTGTCATAACTGGACCTTTTCCTCAGGTGGATTCATTTTTACTTTCATAGCAAGCACTATGAACCATTGTGCTAAGCTAAAAATGGGTTGCATCCCACTGGGTCCCAGAAAGAAGACAGAAAGAATCGTTATAGAGACATTTGCCCAACTCTCCCTCACCCTCCCTCCAAATGAAAGTCCCACTTTTGCAAAACAAGCTGCTCACACCCATATTTATTAGACAGCCACTCAAAACTTTACTCAGTTTGTGTTTCCCTGGCATAAAAGTGTTTTCAAAAGTTAAACTACAGAACTACTAATGCTACCTTCTATCTATTTTCCAAACTAAAAGAATAATAATGGGATTCCAATTACATGAGCTTGTGCAGACTTCCCTTTTCCTTTTACCTCTAATCCACAAATATTGCATGCCTATAGTCACCTAGACTTAAAGTATTGGGAGTTTCCTTTGACTTTCTCTTTTTCCCAGCTTACCTTTTATATTCAATTGACAAGTTCTCTTGACTCCTTTTCTCTGATGTGTCTTTCATCCACCCCTTTCTTTCTATTCGTGTTGTCTGGACTCAGTCCAGGTTTTTTAATGCTCTCTTCAGACTATTGCCATGGTCTCTTAATTGGGCTTCTGCTAGTAGTTTCTGCCTGATCCAATTCAGTCTGCACATCACTGATATTACCGATATGTGATGATGTCAGTTTACTGTTTAAAAAACTGCAGGACGTCTCTACTACCTACTTGAAAATTTCCAAATAGCTTAGATTCATGTTTAAGAACCTACAGTCTCAATCCTAATTCAAGCCCCAGGCTACCTTTCTAGCTATATCTCCCATGATTCCTTCTAAATGTGTTTTAACCGATTTGGACTTTTTCCCACAATGATACACAGCCCTTGCCACACTAAGAGCTCTCTGCTCATGGCACCTCTAGATTCCTGCTTCTGGGATAACCATATGTCCCACTTTGCATGGGATAGCCAGGGTTTACACCTCTTTTCCTAGAATAACCATTAACAATGTTTCAAGTTACTCTCAAAGAAGCATCAATGTGGATCACCACATTATGCACTAAAGTCCTGTCCCTCAAATCAGCTCAAATGTTACCCTTTCATGAAGTTTTCAAGTAGAAGAGCTCTCTCTAATCCCTGTAGATAGATACACAGAACTTTAGTTTATACCTTTAAGGCAACTATTTTTCATCTGTGATAGCCTAGACCAAGGGCAGCAACTATAGTCTATGGGCCAAATCGGGTTTGCTGTCTGTTTTTAT